CAGTCTGGGTACCTAAAGTGAGGGTAAAATGTGCCCATGCTGAAGATTCCGAGAACACACAGGATGCAGGAATGCTGCAGAAGTGGAAGGCCAAGGCGGCTGTGACACACCAAGATGGCTGTGACATGGAAAATGGCAGAGCAAACAATGCACGGGGGTGGGGTGGGGGATGAACAGTGGGCAGTAGATGGCATCTACCAGGTCACAGTGACAGAATGCTTGTGTGCCAGGTGGCTGAACTGGGCAGGATGTTAAGGCAGGTTCCCTTGCTACCCAGGAACTTAGACTCTTCTGTGAAGATAGACAGATAAATCTGCAATGAGGTAAGAGGTGACCTGGACATGTGTATAAGGAGTTGACAGGAAGTATCATAAACTTTATGTGGCATATTGGGAAGGAAAAAAAAAAAACTCCCTAGGGAAAGTAACTCCTGAGCTGAAATCTGAAGTGAACATCGGTTCCCTAGGCTGGAAATGACTTCATCAGGTAACAGATAACTATGTCCGAAATTACAGAACTATGAAAAGAAGCAAATAAAATAAGGCTTTTCCAACACCAGCCCCAAGGGTCCCGAGGAGAAGTTTTCTTATTCTCAGAACTCAGTGCCCCTTCAATGCCACAGAATTAATCAACAGGTCAAAAGTCCTCAGAGAACAGCACTGCTTTTCCTTCTGAGATCACCATCAAAGCTTACAGTCCATGCTGGTTAGCGTTTGTTAACTTGACATAAGCTAGAGTCACTTGGGAAGAGGAAAGCTCAGCAGAGTAATTACTAATTGATACAGGAGCATCCCGTCCCCTGTGGACTTGGGCAGGTGGGCCTGAGCTGTGTAAGAAAGGTAGCTGAGCAAGCCAGGAAAAGAAACCAGTGAGCATCATCCCTCCATGGTTTCTGCCTTGAATTCCTGCCTTGGCTTCCCTCAGTGATGGACAGTGCTCCTTTAGATGAAATAAACCATTTCCTCCCAAGTCACTCTTGGTCATGGTCTATCATAGCAATTGAAAGCAAACTGGAACACAATGCTTCATTATAAAGGACACTAAATATCAGCAAATATGTACTCATGGAATACATCAGTTAACAACTGTTGAATTAAAGTAAAGTGAGCCCTTATGAAACTAAGAAATAAGAGAATAAACATACACTGGGGTCCTTTTCAGGAGCTGAGTTAGTTCCCAAAGAAAATCCCTGTCAGACCAAACATGCAGGTGGTGAAACAGTAGCAAGGAACGTGAGGTGCTCTCGGAAAAGGAGGTAACAAAAGTGGGTCACAATGGTATCATACATAAATGACTCATTATTAAAAATGGATAAGGCTATGTTTTTGAAAAACAGTCTACATACAAATCCTGCTATAATCAAGGATTTGTCAGTTTTTTATCATTTCAGGCAGAGGGCAGAATTTAATCTTTCATCTCTTTCCTCCGTTCCTAAGCTATGCATTGAGTTAAGAAATCATTTAAATTAACTTCAAAATGTTCTTGCAGACATCACTAAACTCTGTCCATACCAATGAATTCCAATGACATCACTGTTTCCATGGCAACTAATGTACTTCAAAAGGGGAGAAACAGAACAAGACTGAAAACCAGGGAAAAGGGAGTAAAGTGGAATAAACAGCACAGCATCGTCCTTGCATTTATGGAACACATTTTAATTCCAAATGCTTTGCCATTTCTTAGGCTGGGGCTTTTAAGAGCCAGAAGGCTCTCAGAAGTCATCACAGTCACTTCTCACTGACAACCAAGACCCACTTCTCCAGGGTGCAGCACCTCACTTGTCAGGCTGCACACAGGGCTCAGCCCTGGAAAGTTCTCACTCACTGTGAGCCTCACCTCACATGCAGGCTGTTCTTTGGTTTAAGAGACGTTTTAAAATTGTTTTTGCAACAGAGAGGACAAATGGTTAAAATCAGGGCATAAAAAAGAGGGTTATGGCAGATACAGCAGGCAGATATCCAAGATGCCAGAGGGAGGAATGATTAATTCCATCTTGGAAGCAGAATACACAGCTCCTGAGACTTTCATTTCTATCCTGTTTAGTCCTAACACACCCATGACCACATCCTGGCCCTGTCATGACCCAGAATTGCCCTGACTCTAAAACTTAACATCACGGGTGTGATCCCAAACAGCTGCTTCCTCTTTTCATTAACCCTGGATGCGGTCCTACAAGCCCACACAGCCCACTACCCCTTACTTCCTGGTGATATTCCCTTGTTGCCCTCCTCAACTTTTACACTTACATGGCATCTAGCCAGCAATATTTTAGCCTGAGCTCAGTGAGCAGCCACTCTTCCTCCGTTATGTTCTGTAGGAATTATCTGGCCCATTCTTTGTCTTAGAGACGGGGGTGAGAGGGGCGCCGGAATCTATCACAACATATGAGATTGTTCTCTCCATTATTTATAGGTCAAGAAGTGTCAAAGATATCAGAGGAAAATAACACCTGAACTAAAAGTATACATGCTGAATGAGGCAACTATGGTCATTAGACTTTGAATAAACAGAAGGGCCTGACCCATAGGCACTACCATCTCACACGACAGCAATAGTTTAAATGATATACTAGTATAAAACTGATCATTTCTGAGGGGAAATAAGAGAGAACTTGATTCCTGCTCTTTGAAAATCAATCCCTTCAAGGATTTGCTGGTGTTGAGTGAGGTAGGCCTATGTCTCTACTTCACCCCAGCAGGCAGGGGTGAAAGTTCACCATTCACATGCCGGCAGGCAGAGGGCTTGACCTGGACTTGAAGGTAGTTACAGACCAAAGGTTCTGATGTCTAATTATTGCCAGGAAGGGTTACAGGTCACCTGTTAACCCAATGCCATCAATGTTGTTAGAAGGGAGCTTGTCTCTGTGTCACCTTATATTTTAATCTCATATTACTCAGTAATACACCTATTACTTTATCCTGGAGGATATTACAAAGTCGCCCTGCTCAAAAGACCCCACACCTATTACTTTATCCTGGAGGATATTACAAAGTCGCCCTGCTCAAAATATACAATAGAGAATGTTTTCTGTCTGCAGTGGACATGTGGTTATCGTTGCTTTAAATTTTCTTCAAGCTAAGTTTCAGAGCCTGGAATACTGGCTCTAATCACATGTTTAGGTTTGCCACTGAAAATAGCCTCAGTCACCTGGAAAGAGAGCAGACAGGCATGACAGGCATGTTCCTTATTAGGCTCCTTTACTCTCACCAGTGTCTGTTTGTCTAGTCAGTGTACCAGCTCCACTCCAGCTGGCATGGGAGTAGACATACTGCAGGGAAGGTCACCTTGACTCTTCTGTGTATACTGTCGTACATCTCTCAAGGCTCCTCGCAGAGGAAAACACTTAAGAAAGCATCCCTGAACTTTTTCCTGGGTCATGGGCTCATTGAGGAATTTGAAGAAAGTTCTGAGTTCTTCTCATACCAAGCAAACAAAATTACCACACAGTTTGTGGTGGACAGAAGGCAGGATATCGAATTCTGAGAACCCTGAAGTTAATACATGGCCTTTTTTTTTTTTTATAGAAGCAAAGGTTTATTTGGCATTACACTTCAAGAGGGTCATGATTCAAAATCGTGGGGATAGCATGGTAGCAGGTGGCAGACATGATGGCTAGTGCTGGAAACTGAGGAATCACATCTTAAACCATAAACACAAGCAAAAAGAGTGAACTACAAATAGACATGGCTCTGAAACATCAATGTCTCTTTCCAGTGACATACTTTATCCAGCAAAGCATGGCCTAAGTTTTTATGAACTGTTATTTATTATTATGGTGTATGCATATGTGAGCACAGGCACACATGTAGAGGTTAAAGGACAAATCTGTGAGCCGGTTCTCTCCTTTCACCTTTATATGGGTTCTGGGGATTGCAGTTGGGTTGGATCATCAGCCTTGCACAGCAAGCACTTTTTCACTTGAGACCAGAGTTTCAAAGGCCCCGTTTCTATTAGATCTAAAGATCTACTTGGAAAGCCATGTTGACAGAAGCATCACGGAGGTCATATTCTAACTGTCCTCTGGTACTCTTCCCGGGCTTTTGTTGAGGCATACTAGGAGGAAAAACCTTTTCCTTGTAGTGAGGAAGAAAGGAGTGTGTTTAATATACAGTTTCTTCCTCATAAGAATCTAGTGAAAGTCTGTGTCTGGTCTCGGCAGTGCTTCTCTCAGGCAAGCAGCTTGTTTTAGCCATGTGCAAATGGACAGTGTCTTAATTGGTAGCATGCTTTTTTTTCCCTTTGGCTGCTAGAAAATTCATAGCATATTTAAGTTCCTTAATGGCATGCAATTTGTTTGCTGACTTTACTTTGGGCTCCATCTGATCTTAATTATTCTTTGTCTATTTTTATTACATTCTTACATTATTTTGTCATGTACAGACTAGCCAGAAATACTCCCTAGAAGAACATGGGCTATCAAGGGTTAAAATTAGGCACCCAAAGCAAAAGGAGTTACCTTTTTACCTCCTTTCTCACAGGTGTCTACTCTAGTCTATCAAGAAAGCATTGCCTGAGATGCTCACATGACTTTGGCAGCATTTGGAGACCAACGCTCTTTAGAAAGCTTGCAATTCCGGAACCCTGCTTCAGAATTATTCTTGATCTGCATGGTGTTTGGACACGTGTGTAATGTTACAGTAATGGGAAAGATCAACTAGGAGTCTCATGAAGTGTTCTGCAGAAGGTTAGACTAAAACTCAGTTGCGATCCCAGATGTAGAGGAAAATAACTGTACATGAGATATGGATATCGATGGGTAATTTATTAACGGGAAATCGTTTACATGAGAAACCGATAACCCTGGTTAGTCTTAGCAGCTATCCAAGACCTGACCGGAACCTGGTGAGAGGGAGAGCGACCCTTGGCCTCAGTCCTTTATCCCACACGCCACATACCCACCTGTGGCCACGCCCAAATGGGCATGGTCAGCGCCTCGGTACCTAGAGATCTCTCCCAACAAGGGGTCTCATGCTTTTATCAGTGAGGGTGTAAACGCTTACCGGCACGTGGACCTTTCGAAACATCTCAGCACCCTTGTGTGCATCCATCAGCGCAATGTCCTGAGGTGTAGAGACAATCACAGCACCTGACCAAAAGTGAAACAAAGCAAGGCTATCTTTTAATGCTTGAGGGTAAGCTTCCTTCCAATGTGATTTTATTCACATGCTCACAGAGTCTACAACATTACCTAGCTATAAGTTTGATACAAGCGAATAAAAAGATGTCTATTTTTCCCTTCCTGTCCTTGACTCGTCGCTTCTGAAATCAGCAGACTGAGCAGCACAACCAGAGCATTGCAACCTCTTCACATTCAAACATGTTAGTGAGATAGGTATTGGGCCAGCCTTGTTGCCCAGAAGCAGGAGTCTGACTGGTACACCAGAGAGAATGAGGACTGCCACACAAAGTACTGAGCGCTGTAACATGAGGCCGTGAAGTTCTAACAGAGGGACAAGAAGAGGGACTACCAGGAAGAGAGGGTGGCAGGCATACCAAGCTAGAGCAAGCAAGATCTCATCGCACTTCTCCAACAGGAAGCCACATCCTCCTCTTGCAATATCATTTCTTCTCATCAAAATCTGTATCTTTCACATTAATGTCAATTCTTGAGATTTAATTTTTTTAAGTTTTGGTTGTACTTCTTTGTTAAATGCTTTGTTTGTTTGTTTTATCTGGAGGAAATTTTAGAAGGAGAGGTCCTAGCCTTTGCTGAAGTTTGAGATTCAAATACCTAAGTATTCAAAGTCTGATCCTACAGCTGATGGGCTGTGAGAACACGGAGTCACTACAACAACCTAGGTGGGCTTCAGTTTCTTCAGCCACAAAACAGCACAGTAATCCCTGCTTCCCATAGTTGCTGCTCTACACACAACTAGACACAAATGTCTGATATGATGCTTTGCACCCAACAAGGGATACTTGCTGTTAATAACATCATCACTACTATGCTCACTATTAATAATAAAATGTTTCAGAAGTTGCCAGGAAGGTCATTTCCTAGTACCATTAGACAGATCAACCTTCTCTTAAAATAATTTCCTGGAAAAAAAAATAGTTTCATGGATGGCTCCAGCTTTCTTTTCTTAATTTCTCTGCTTAACAAATCAAAAGCTATTCAATAGTTCTTTTAACAGATGATGAATCACATCTCTGCAAAATTATTCTCTACACATACGAAGTATCTGCCACTGTCTCGATTCTGTTATTAATATATTTTCATATTCGGTCATGTGGAAGGAATTAATTCTAGCTCTGGCCCCATCTAGCTGTGACTAATCTTGGACAAAAAACTCAGAAAGACCCTGGGTTTCAGTTTCCTTGACTGTAAAACTGGTGTATGTCTTAGACAGTTTCCAAGGTCTCCTATGACTGCGTGATCTAGCATTGGCTCCTAACCATACTTCCAAGCCCAGCCCCTGTTCAACCTCCCAGTCCCGATCATCTTATTAAGGGGCACCACTGCCTCTCCTTCATCTCAGTTGCTCTCAGACTATTCTCTTCATACAGGAACAAGGACATTTGTGGGTTATTTCCTCCCAACCTTTTCCCTCACAACTAACAACTAGGTAGGGTTCTTTATTGCATTAGCTCTAAAAATTTCTCCCAACTCTAGTCACAGGACATAAATGCATTCTTGTTTAACTATTCTTGTCTACCATTTGCCTCTTATTGCAAAACACAGGTCCACGTGTTTTATGGTCTGTATGTTTGTCTTCCAAGGACTAGCAGGACCTTTAAAAGGAAGGGTCCCGTGGTGTCCTACTGTCCTGCTTCCTGTGGTTACATACTCATTATCTGAAGATATGAAGGGAGAACTGGGGAAAATGGGGGGGGACTTTATCTGGAGGTAGTAGATGAGGAAATCTCTAAGCAAGAGGGAGGGACTGGGAATAGAGAACACCAAGGATGCTTTAAAAAGCCATTAGGGAAACAAGATTTTATGTTTATTTAAAAATACATATAACTATATTATATAAGTTAATATAACTATACTATATATATATATATATATTATAACTATATGTGCATTTTGGAGATGCCAGAACCATGGAATGATCACCAAGAACAAGCCAATAAGCAGCACTCCTCCATGGCCTTTGAATCGGCTCCTGTCTCCTGGTTTTAGCCCTGCTTAAGTTTCTATCCTGACTTCCTCCAATGATGAACAGAGCTGTGGAAGTGTAGGCCAAATAAACCCTTTCCTCCCAATTTGATTTTGGTCATGGTGTCTTATCACAGCAATAGTCATCCTAACCATAACAATGTGTAAACATATATAAGTAATTTAGATGAAGTTATGTCACTAGGGATGATAATGTTTCCCCTAAGAAGCAAAGACGATCTAACAAAAGCCTCAGTGCCGGACTTGGGAACTTCTGTTTGAGTTGTTGGTCAAGGGACTCTAAGAGACACCACAACCAATAAAGGATATTGGTGGTGTCCTTGATTGCCTCCCAGAACCAGATCTCTCACTGAAGACTCCACACACTCAGATACAGAACTTGGAGGAATCAAGCTGGAACTGACCTGGAAGCCTTCTCCCTGAGGACTAGCTCTCAGTATTCAAAGGTGCTGTGCGAACTGCCAGGGGAGAAAAGCAATCAATAGTTCTACTGAGCTTTGACACCTATGAACCACAACAATGACTGGATAGTACAACCGTAGCACCTTTATCTCCTGGGTACCCAATACCTGTCGAATTGGACAAGGTACTTTGGTATAAGATTCTTTTTTAAACAAAAATATATGCTGTTGTGTTTTTGTTTTTGTTTTTTAATAACTAAGTCCTTAATTCCAACACAGTTTAGGGGCCATCAACTTGTTCCTCACACAGACACATTCTCTTTTATTCCAAACTTTCTAGCATTTCACATGAACAACCATTTCAAATAGTCCTCTAATGATACTCAGAACTTATGAGAAACGCAACGTAAACAGACAAAGCTTCCAATAAAATAACATTTTAGTCATTAATCAATCTCCACATTATCATCCAAAAGGAATTATGCAAATTTTTTGTGATGTATCTCACAGCTTAAAATATAATCTTTAAACTTGATGTTACATTCTATCTTTGCAGTTCTCGACATTCTACTTGTCTATATTTTTTTTTTATAGTTCATAACACATGAAGCAATAAGAAGGAGCCTAGATCTCCCTCCAGCCTGCCATTAGTAGTGATGTCACCAGTTATCTGATGGAGGATCTGGTAGAAAACTTTTGCTCCCTCTGCTGACCACAAGGAAATGCCAGCAGAAGTAAATAAAGAGTATTTAGTTTGCAAAAGATGTGACTATTTGGGGGGTTAAAAGGCTCTCTTGGGGATCTCATCAAGACTCTATATTGGCTTCCTGGGGTAAATGTATAAGCCCAGTTCCATAATGTTGTTTAAACACACTTCTCAACTGGAACCTTTTACTCTTAGATCATCTGAGATTTACCACTAGAGGTTAAGTGTCTAGTAGATTCCGACAAGTATGTAAACACTTCACAAAATAATTACTAGGCATACTTTCCTAATTGTTAATTCCAATAACTAGAGGAGAATAGATGATTGCTTATCTGGATTTGGGTCAGAGTTCAGAGTAGTTAAACATTTATAGTTAATTATTCCAGAGGTTATCTGATCATAATCACAGTGAGGTAGAACTACTCAACTGTACAGCACAGCCTGTGGGGCACAGATCATATCTGGGCTGAGAATCTCAGCATGGGAGCATAATAAACATGTACAAAACCTGCTTGGAATCATGCCTGTAGGACAGCATGGTACCTTACAACTTTTGAGCAGTTTAACATGAAGCCAAAGGAGGCTTAAAAGGCATTAAGCACTACTCTCCATGTTCACAGTGTTAATGCTCACTGCTGATTATACTTCATTTATTTAGATACACACTTAAACAGAGGGTCAGCACACCCTGGGGTGTAGCTTGCGGGGCAGAGCATGCACTTAGCATACATGCGGGCCTGGGTTTGAGCTCCAGCACTGCATGTGAAAGGAAATCAGAAGAGCCAATCAACGTGTGCTAGTTTATCATGATGCCACAGATGTGACTGTTATTAACTGTAGACTGGGGTCATTATTAGCTCGATTACATGTTCTGTCATATCTGAACTTATTGAATTATAAACAGCCTTTACTATAACATCAAGGAGTGCCCACTAATATCAGTTATCAGATTAAGTAAAATGTGATATACACCTAAATCTACCTCAATCATGTTAATAGACTGTTTCAAAATATAACTAATTCTTGGATGAGTCACTGTTTGGGGGCTTTATGCTTTCTTCAATCAGTTAATAATTGATGAGAGACACAAAGCATACATGTTTTATTAATTTAAATATTATGATATTTTGCTAGCCTTGAAAAATCTTCATGCCTGTAATCCACACAAAGAGACAGAGACAGGAAAACCCCATGGGTGTTTGGTCATTCTGGTCTACCTACTGAGTGCTAGGTCAGCCAGAGACATATAGTGAGGCTCAAAAACAAAACAAGGTGGGGGGGGGAGGGTGGGTGAGGGAAAGGGAAATAATTCTGCTAGCTGGCATGAAAAAGAACTGTTAAAGCAGTAATAGGTGAAAACCCTACTATTTCAAAATTACCCGTGGAAGAGGTCAGTCAACCACTTTTTCATAACAGAATCTGTAGTCAAATCTAATGCACTCAATAGATAATGGGCTTTCCAATCACTTCAGTTCCTAACAACACCAAGAAGTACCCTGCTGTCCTGTCAGTAGCCCTGGCTGTCCTGGAATTCACTCTGTAGACCAGGCTGACCTTGAACTCTCAGAGGCACTTGCCTCTTGCCTACCAAGTGCCAGGATTAAAGGCATGCACCACCATGCCAGGCTTCTTTTTTATTTATTTTTACAGTATCTTACTTTTTAGCCCAGGCTGGCCTTGAATTCGTGATTCCCTTGCCTTAGCCTCCTGACAAATGGATCATAGCCTGTGCTGATACTCCTGCCTCATAGCTCTGTGTTTGCTCAGTTCTGGCTGTGACTCTAGCCCAGGACCTTGGGTGTGCTAAGCAAGCTCTCTTCTACACATAACTATTTCTCCGATGTCACATCAGTTTA